TTTTTTTTTGTTCTGGAATTTATTTGACAGGTACCCCTGAGGGGTGGCTTCCATCATGATCATCATCAAATGACCAGCTGTGATTCTTTCCGTGAGCGTTTTTCGCGGCGGCGAATTTAGTTGCAGTCATTATCTCAAAGGAAGGAAGAAAATAAACAAGCCATGGCCAGAATCATCCAAGGTTTCCTGGAAAAAATCGTCGCAGTTGCCCACGAAAAGGGAGTTTACGCGGCTTTCAAAGGGCGAGGCGTCGATGTTCAAGGGTAAATATTTGCCAGATTTATGGAACAAGTCAACCCAAGAAAAATGAAAGGAAAAAATATTTTGTGAAAAAATAAATTCAGAAATAAATGAATGGTGAAAACCCGGCGGCGCTATTTTTGAAATGCAAAAGTACGGTTTTGCCGGACGATGAACTTGCAAATCATAATCGGATGTATTTTCACGATTTATCTAGTATCCAAAAATCATCACCGATGTTATAAAATTATGACAAGGAAGCTTAAACACTTGGGAAGTTTTCCATGAATTGATACTCATTCTAAAAAAAAAAGGAGTCAAAATAGATGCGTCCTTCTTCGATGAAGATAAAAATGGTATCAGCTAAAAAAATTGAAGATTGATAAATCAACACAAATAGCAGCATCGTAAGCTCACAGAAATCATTTTCAAAATTCTTCAGGACAAAACAAACAAACAAAAAATTGACTGATTTAACTTTTTATACAATTAAGAGAAGTATAGCAATTCAATTTTCACCGATAAGGAGCACGAGAATCAGCCAGAAAAATAGTCCCACGAATCCTTAAATTTTCTCGTCATTCTCTTAGATCCCACAATTGAATTTCATCTAAGATATCAAATTTTCCTAAAATTTCTCATGGTTGAAAGCTGAATGAATTTTCCTCGATATCTCGCTGGATTTCAGTGAGGCAACGTCTTAGCTGAACGCTGAAAAATCATTCGTAGCCATCAACTTTGTCTTTTAAAAAAAAATCTATGCCAAATCATCGTTCACTGCATTATAAAAAATCAACATTTGTTGACTGCGTTTCCTAGAGCAAAGTGATGTTCAAATTAACAGCATTCTTCACTTACTTTTATGATTCATCTCACCCCTCACACCCCTCCTGGCTCTAGATAAAAGCAATCTCAGAATGAGTCAAGTGAGTCAGCAAACGTTATTTATTGCCTCGGGTTCTCTCTCCCGTCTTTCCAACATTCATCCAGAAGATTCATCTCACCCCTCACACCCCTCCTGGCTCTAGATAAAAGCAATCTCAGAATGAGTCAAGTGAGTCAGCAAACGTTATTTATTGCCTCGGGTTCTCTCTCCCGTCTTTCCAACATTCATCCAGAGCAGTGTCATAAAAATCTCTGGGGCTCAGATGATCACTTATCTGATCCGGCAAAGTCGAATTTCCTTCAGAGGAAGTTCTAGCGAAATTTCATTAGCCATCGTTTGAAGGGAGGGTTCTTTGCAAACAACTCGGAAAACATTCTTGAAGCAAGAGGGAGAAGGTTCATAAAGCAGCCTTGGAAAAGAGGATTAGCATACATGACCTTTTCTCAGAGTTTCCAAAGTCTCATGGTTGACACACTCCAACCTTATTTTTCTTTTGCTCAAATCAATACTGTATGCTGAAAGTAATCCAATATTTTTACCTTTTCATGAAACCAAATGACTCTTGCATAGAAGACCCAATCAACAGGTATACAAATCCAATCACTGTATTTACTGAAGTACCACATGCCCTCAAGTAAGACATGAACCTATATTTTTGAGCGTGAAATTGGCCCAACACCCAATTTCTGCACCGCCCTTGTTTTGGTTGGTTGAAAAATATAATTTTCAAAAGGATCAACTTGTGATTGATTGAACTAACATAAATTATTGTAAAGGGGAACTTGTCAGCAAACAATGATTCTTTTCATTTCCCCTTTGGAATGAATCACATACAACTTGCACTTGGTTCATGATGTGCGTTTATTAAAAAAAAAGTATTTTCCAAATGCCATGTGCACCCTTCTTCTCTACCTTGATGGTTTAGGTTAGGAAACAACCAAGAAAGAAAAGGTGCACATGGTACTTGCATAAATACAGTATATATATTGCAAATGAAGGGATTTGTTGCAGTTTAGCTGAGGTCACCACTCACCAGATAATGTAAGTCAAGCCAAGGAAAGATATTCAGGTGGTACCTAACAATTTAGCCATATTCCATTGCCAGACCATAGGGTCAAATGGCACAGTGGTCAAATTGCAAGGCACTTTGTAAAATTGAGAAATAGCAGCACAGAAATGCAAAAAATTGGCCAAACCATTCTGGGGCAGAGGTCAAATTGCAAGTCAACCTCCCTGCAAATTCAACCATCAAATCGCGTGATGGTCAAATTGCAGGAGGTCTAATTGCAAGGTATCACCTGTTCTCAAGTGAAAGCTGGACCTAAATCATAGTGAAGACGGACTTTTAAAATATTTTCTGGGAACATCCTCATAAATTTGTGTTACTTTTTTCACTAGGGTTGAGTTCAGCTTAAGGTGATCTCATCCAATATAGGCCTAAATTGCCAAAAGGTATACTATTCTCAACTATTTTGTGCCCTATGGTGACGGATTGAATACTTTGAAATTCAGAATTCCAGCGAATGGTTAAAAAGAAAAAAACCACATGGTGCAAATCTTTTGTCAGATTGTAGACTGCTCCTGGCAGACTGACCACTGTGTCCCTTTCTTTGCTTTCATGAATACTCCTTGCGCAGTTTTAATTATCTGGAAACTGAAATAGAGTTAAATAAGAAAAGTTCAGAAAGTTTCGTCTCTAAGTTGTTCCAGCTTGGTTCCTGGTGTTTTGTTCTGGACTTTGCTTTCATGAATACTCCTTGCGCAGTTTTAATTATCTGGAAACTGAAATAGAGTTAAATAAGAAAAGTTCAGAAAGTTTCGTCTCTAAGTTGTTCCAGCTTGGTTCCTGGTGTTTTGTTCTGGTATGATTCCAGTGAGCTTACAAGGATAGAGGGGAAGAGATGAATGTGCTGAGCAGTCAAGAGTCACGTAGTGGCTCCCCATTGTTTTCCTTGGCGTGCGACGCTCAGATGACTGCGAAAATCGAAGCTTTTGAAACCAATTTAAAATGTATTAATGTAAAACATCAATACGTATATTTTTTTTCAAGAATTTGGTGGAATATCTTTAAAAAACGTAATTAAAAGTCTGAAATAATTATAATTAATACAGTATACTCAGTTGGACCTTGATAACATCAAACCTAAAAAAAAACTCACATTACAGATCACTTAAATCAAAAGCTTTCATGCTCAAACAACTGTAAATGAAATTCCAGTTGGCCTTTTTTTCTGGGCTATAATTCTGGAAATTCAGGAAAAGTAAAGTAATAAATGTAGAACTTGATTTTTGAAAGGAAATGACTGAGTAATTTGGTAAATTAACCCTTGTCTCCAATTTCTGTCAACTCATTCGCACAGGAGTTTCAATCCCAGATGATCAAAACTTATAATATCCTGTAAACTTTGCTTTCATGAATACTCCTTGCGCAGTTTTAATTATCTGGAAACTGAAATAGAGTTAAATAAGAAAAGTTCAGAAAGTTTCGTCTCTAAGTTGTTCCAGCTTGGTTCCTGGTGTTTTGTTCTGGGATGATTCCAGTGAGCTTACAAGGATAGAGGGGAAGAGATGAATGTGCTGAGCAGTCAAGAGTCACGTAGTGGCTCCCCATTGTTTTCCTTGGCGTGCGACGTTCAGATGACTGCGAAAATCGAAGCTTTTGAGACCAATTTAAAATGTATTAATGTAAAACATCAATACGTATATTTTTTTTCAAGAATTTGGTGGAATATCTTTAAAAAACGTAATTGAAAGTCTGAAATAATTATAATTAATACAGTATACTCAGTTGGACCTTGATAACATCAAACCTAAAAACAAACTCACATTACAGATCACTTAAATCAAAAGCTTTCATGCTCAAACAACTGTAAATGAAATTCCAGTTGGCCTTTTTTTCTGGGCTATAATTCTGGAAATTCAGGAAAAGTAAAGTAATAAATGTAGAACTTGATTTTTGAAAGGAAATGACTGAGTAATTTGGTAAATTAACCCTTGTCTCCAATTTCTGTCAACTCATTCGCACAGGAGTTTCAATCCCAGATGATCAAAACTTATAATATCCTGTAATTCTTCATATTTCTTCCCAGTAAAATGTGGTACAGTATATAGTTCCCCTCGCTCAGAACTTGCTTATATCTAATTTTTTGGTGGGTCCCTTCTTGGAGTTGGAATTGAAGAAATTTACTGTATCTTTACTTTCAATAAAAATGTCATCAGAAATATCCAGGAGTTACGCACTGCCATGCCTTGAAAATTTTGCAACCAGATTAACGTGAGAAAAAAATTAAATCCTGGTCTAAGCAATTCTGATGAGCAGATATACTGACTGTTATCCCTGGAAAAGTAGTAAGTTACGTGCGTCTCCTTTTAATTAGGATGGGAAATGATTAAGATACTAAAAGTCTATTCCAGACGAAAATAGTCTTTATTCAATATAACACACAGTATTCACAATATTGACCATAAGACAAAAAAAAAAAAAAAAAAAAAAAAAAAAAAAAAAATCAGTAGGGGTGCGCTTGTTGGGGGTGGAAAAGCATTTTCTTAGGCGGGTGCTTTTGCTGAGCTTTCGGGGTGTTATACCCCTGGCTTGTATATGTGCTTGTTTCTGGGCGGACGAGGGCTGTGTTGAGTGACACAAGGGGGATACAGTAGTAGGTGGAAGACTGATTGTCTTTGTTTCCGGTGCTGGCCACTTGCTGGGCGGAAATTATATGGATACAGTTCGGGGGACTGGCTTTTTTTAAAAGGATACGACGTATAGTACTGTATTTGACATTCTCTCGAGTTCTTACGTTTGAAAAAAAAAAGGAGATTGGAGTCGATTGCTGCGGGATTCTGATGTACATCTGATTTTCTTGATGATTAAACGTGGCTTTTTTCTTTTTGCACCATCAAGGAGCGATTTTCATCAGGAGTGAAGGATGTACAGAAACTTTCTTTTCTTCTGCCCAATTTTCCGCAATGACATGCCCAACTGATGAACTTGTCGTATTCCAGTGCTGAGAAGCTTTTGGCAAAGTTTGTAAAACAACAGTGTACTTTGGTTGATCGATAAGTTCCAAATCCTTCAGACACTAGACAGCGGCAGGTCCTTTTCCATCTTGAGGCTGCATGATTCAGGGTTTTTTGTTTTTGTTTTTTGTTTTTTGCAAACAGGCGTATTTTGGTTTGACTGAAGGTCAGAAAAACATAGCCTTGGTTGAATAATTTAGCAACAGTCTGAGTTTTTCAGGAGGATTGTAGGATATTCTTTTCAAAATTCATTTAATATGAATCCTGATGAGTTAGGAATGCAACAAATGTCACCGGATGATGAGTTTTAAAATTTCAGCTACACTTCTCTAAGGAGCCTAAGCTATAGTGAGAAAAATAGCACTTCTCCTGGACTTCAAATAAAAGTACTGTACGTCGATTGGTCGGGGATTTAAAAAAAAGTGTTTCTTTGGGCACTGAATTTTACAAAAGTATCCCGACTATGCCACAGTATGGTTAATTTGTTCAGAAGAAAGCAAATTTGATAGGATTAAAACACAATATTCTATTTATTCCCTTAAGTGGTGGAAGGGAGACCTGGTCTTCACTAAGCAAAATGTTAGTGTATTTCATCTAAGATTAGACATTTGAAATATTGTACTGCAATACACAAGGGCTAAAATGTGCCAAGCACAAAATCACGATTCACGATTATTTGGACGATTTTGACTTGGCTGAAGTTGGAAATTGAACAGGCTGAGCTGCAGAGAAAGTAAGGTTTTACTGAACTACTTCAGAAAATGTAGTGAGAAAATGAAGAAAATTGACTGCCTTTCAGACTCTGTGTTTAACATTCAATTAATTTAAATTGAATCAAGGTGCAATGTTTCAATTCTGCTTTTCTGGCACCACTTTCTGCAATCATTGCTAGCTTTACCAGATTATAAAAGGTAATGAAGCTTTTGGCCACTTGACCTAACTTGACCCTTAGTGCATTTACAGACCAGGACATTTCCAAAAAGAAGCACAATATTTTCAAAAGGTGCCTGCTACCCATGAAGTTTAAAAAAAGGAGGCTGACTTGTGGAACAACAAACAAGCTACAGGGAACTTAAACTTTTGTCATAATGAAAGTTTTAATGAGCCAAAAATTGTATCCTAATTCTAACGAGGAGAGAAAATACTGTACTAAGAAAATAATCAAGGAAAATAAAAGTGCACAACACGTAACACAGGAAAGTAGTGCCAAATGATTTAATATTGTCAGTTAACAAGACGAAAATCTTATCGCTTGAATGAGAAATGATCGTCAATAATATGTAATACGCCATGTAAAAATTCCGGATCAACAGAAACCACGGCTATTACATTAAAACAAAAGCAAAAGACACGCATCTTTAAAAAAAAATTGGACTCCAAAAATCAGGGCTCCTTAAAAAGTAAATGGTATCTCGCACACTTGGTAGAGTCTTAAATTTCTCAGGGTATACGTCCATGATCGTTGCTGATGAACGTATCAAAGTTTGCGTTGAAAAATATCACTAAATAAGTGCATCCTTGATTGAAAAAATCTTTATTCTTCTGGAAGCGCTCGCGGAAATTACTCAGGTAACCAAATCAATCAATAATAGAAAGAATCAAGATCAACAGACTCCTTTAATTTTGAAAGTGCAGGTATACAGTGAGGCCCCCAGATGCGGACATAATTGGTGCATCAAGAGTGTCCCTAAGTTGAATTGTTGTTAAGTTGAGTCTTGTTTTCTCATAGACTTACATTATATAATTTTTAATTGGTGTTTTATGGAAAAAATATTCTTCAGAAATCCATGAAGAAATTTTTTTCGTCACTTGAGCTTGATTCAGTGAATATCTGTTCAACCCAATAAGAACATTTGGAGCATTGTACCATTGTACAGTTCATTGAAATGTTGGCATCTGTAAAAGTAACATGCAAGTCACAAAAAGAGACAGAAGTCCCTCTGTGCTACAGGTAATTTTTAAAATTAGCGTAATGGCTGGGAAAGTGATGGGAAAAGCACCAAAGAATTTTTCTTATGTAGATCTTACGGTTGGAAATATCTGTTTCTTGCAATTAAACCTAATAAAAGTCAATTTTCTTAAAATGTATTGGCAATTTTATCATGCAATGTCCTCATGTCAAGTCAGTGTCCCTATGTTGGGCCTTTTATATGAATTTTTTAAATTGAAAAATAAGTGTCCCTATGTCGAATTGTCCCCATGTCAAGGTGTCCGCATGTGGGGGTCTCATTGCATATATCAAATGTAAATCCAAGTGCCTCTTATATCCGTCGGTAACAAGTAGTCGTCTATTCTATGATACACAGTACGTCTTACACAGTCTAGATTGTGTTTTTCAAATACTTGAACTTCAATTAAGTTAAATGCAGCGTTTCAAAAATGCAGTCCCTTGTTTCAACGGAAGAGAAAACACGCCCGGAGGAGGTGTGTGCGACTGAGTGCCAATGGTTGTTGCACGGAACCGGTGGGCGTGGGCAACTCGGGGGCACTCCTCCCGTCGGAAGGGCGGGCAGCAGAGATCCCGAAGGAATTCCCTCGAGGAAGGAGAAAACCCCGTGCACCTGCAGGAACCTCCCAATCCTTGCTTCGCATTCATGTAGTCATTCCTGCTTCAAAATACTGTGCCAGATCGCCCTTCTCACGTCGCAAAACATCCAGATTAGCCTCGATTGGATACGGAAACATCAACAACAGCATCGAAGTGAATCGCGCTGATTTGACTTTTATCTCAACTGCCGGTAAAACCGCGCGTGGATCAATTGCGTCGCGAAGGCAGGGATTTAAGGAGACAATTTTGCACGAATGATATAGACCGTGAAAATCGACCAATTGGCTCCGAACTGGAAGCCTTTCATAACTGCTAAAATGTATTCAAGGTTATTTGCTTTGTTGATCTCGAGAAAAGTCCAGGAATAAGGTCTGTTTCTCTCCTATTTTTTGTTGCTGTCTTACTTTCTTGAATTGAAGCAAGAACTTCTGTCGGTCGATTTTTTTTAAAGGCATGGAATAAGGAATACACATGAAAGCCGTAAAATTTAGTACATACATATTATATTAAATTTATGTCACTTAGCATTTAAAGCTTACCGAGATGGCATTAAACTCGTTTCAATTCAACTTCGCATATCTTTCAACTCTTCGATATTCTACACTCAACACGGGCAACGTCCTGTTCTTCAGCAATTAAAAAAAAGATGCAATCAAATTATTACATCAATCGAAATATGGCAGATTAAAACGGTGATTCGAAAGCAAATTTAATATAACTTTGGTATGGGCCTACCTTCAGATTTTATCATTCTATTTTTTTGAATACTGTATTGAAGCTTCAAAATCTGTCCTGAATATTTTAAACTATCCTTTTAAATACGCAAGAGATTGGAAATGTGTCTCAATGGGGATAATACTGCTTTGATTTCCCATGGGAGCGAAATTTTGGCAACGGAAAGCAGCTTTTATCTGACAAAGTAGATGAAATTTAGTCTTCCCTCGTCGAAATGAATCCGGAAAAGTTTATTTTCGTTCAAATCATACCCCGCCCAAAATATTTTTTGTTCAAATCAGTAGAGCTTCCGATGTTCGCCAAGAAAAAATACTTCGAGTATGTTGTCCTTCACTTGTTCCGCATATAATCTCCCGAAAAAGTTTTCGGCCGTTCAAAAGAAAGTGAGTCTGTGGTAGGTTGGATTTTTTTTCCGCTGCCATATGACGATAGTTGTGTGATATATTTCCGAGTTGCTGTCAAGAAAATTTTGCAAAGGGATCTTTGATATCATCATAAATGTCATGTTTATTTGCAGTGAGAACAAGGCGAACTACGAGGAGTTCGAGCTGCCGACTGCTGAGCAAGGGTTTCGGTAAGTTTCTTCTTTCGATGCTGATTTGCAAAACAAAATCGCAATCTCCGTTTATAATTTGAATAATTTGT